GGAGCATTACATTGTTTTTCTCGAAGCATCACGGCTGAGTAGACTTTCAAAGAATTTCTTATGATATTTCAAAATCTGTCATTTGTCTAGTTGTTATTGTGAGCCTTCTGTCTCATATTTATTGTTAGAGAAATAAGTATCCATCTCATGCATTTGACGTCCCTGTATGGACAGAAGTTTGCCTTAGGAAATACTGCTCGTGTGGTCTGTCGCTATTGTTTTTGACGATGAGTGTACGAAGTAGAAGTAAAATGAATGATGCACTTGTGATTTCAGATTTGTACTACATTCCTGCATTCAAATGGACAAAGCACAACGGCTGAAGCATGAAATTGATCAAGTAAGCCCGTGACTTTCTTTTCTTGTCATTCAATGCCACCCATTCAAACTGACTTGCATTCGACTTTTTTCTAGATTTCAGTTCAATTAGACAAAGAGCCGAACAATATTATTTTATTGAGTAAATACAAAACAGCAGCAGTAAGCAGGACTGTTATGGCATTTGTTATCTACAATTCTAATATTTGTTTGAATTTTTCTCATTATAGGCGGAGTTGCTACAAATTCAACAGCAACAACTCAACCACCATCAACAAGAACAACAACAATCAGCAGTAAGCACGAACGGGATCTTTTTTCAGTTCTAGCCTTCTGTTTTCTTGGCGAAAAAAGAAGGCTTAGAATAACAGATGTATTGAGGGCGATACTCACGGAATCGAGTTCATTGAATATCGGTTTTCTGTATTCTGATGTTTCTTCTTTCTTCCAGGAGTATTGCTTTTTGTGAGGATCACCTTCGGATCTTTTAAAGTTTTAGTCATGTTTACTAGTTTCTTTTTCTAACTCTCTTCAATTTCCCATTTTTCAATACCATCTGACACAGTAACGTATGTAGGTGATAAAACGCATTTGAAGTGAGATTACCCGCATAAAGTAGAACCTATTGAGGTCAGAAAAGGCCTGAAAGTATTCATCACTACAGGTCTTTCTTCTCAAGTGATGACCGTTTTTCTCAATTTTCGATCTATGGTAACAGATATTCGGGAAGACCAAATGAACGACTATCGACCTGAAATTTTCTCTATAAATAGGTCTAGTGATGCCTAGAATAAACGCAAAACTTCTAGCAAAGACGGATGTTCCGTTGTCGAGATGGTCAATTTTTCGAAAATTTCGCTCTTTTCAATGTCTTATGAAAAATGCACGTTTTTTTTAAACCTAGTACTTTGATAATGGAGCATCCATTTCCATTGAAATTTTGGGGTTATGCTAGAACCATTAGACCTATTTATGGGCAAAATTTCAGCTCGACATTCGTCTACTGTCTTTTCCCAGATATCGTTGCCATAGATCGAAAAACGGTCATAACTCGCTCATTATTAGGCTATTTCGTGCGGCTTAGTATGACTAGTATGGTTTTCCGCTTTTGGAAAAGATGACGGCATCATTGATAGAAGATTTTCTTTGCTCAATATGAAACTTGATTTGAAAAACATCCGAAACTATGAAAACTCAGGTTGGTTACTACAAAAGACTTGAAAAAAGTTAGAAAAACATGAATTCCACTGTCACTTTGATATACCAATATGATTTCGCTCGATCTTTGTATTTGTAAGAAATAGGTTTAAGAAGCAAGCAGTGACTGATGATTAAGAAAACTGCGATATACCTGAAAGAAATCTGCTTTTCTGAGCATGAATTAGATGAAAGTTCGATTAACTTGATCTCAACCCTTGCTTTTAGACCAGCGCTGATCAACCACCGCCATCCTCAAGAACAACAACACCGATGTCAACAAGAAGTAAGTGTCTAATAGTATACCCTTTTTTTGTTAATAGTTGACAAATACGTGTCATTTTGATTACATTGCTCTTTTGTTTTTCATTGAGCGCGATTGGATGAGAGCGAGCACAGATCTGTTTTTTCTGTATGATTTCTGTCATTTTGACTCTGCTCTTGATCTCAGGCTGTTTCACAGTGGTTGCTATCAGTCTAATGGACGAAAGAATAAAACAAGCATCTGTGAATGAGGAAAGGTGCTTGCGCTCTGACAACCCTTTGTTGCTCAAATGATCTAATTTGACAAAAGAAACAAACAAAGAAGTAAGCTACACCTCAAGAAGAGACATTTGCGCAGAGCAACGAATCCTGCTCTAGGATCCAATACGATCTTGTAAGAAATTCTTTAGAAATACATCGTATCCTGTAGGATTTCATCAAAAATCCTAATAAGTTGGTATATTGGATTTTTGCGTCAATCTGCAAGGCCTCTCCGACCGTAAAAGCCTTGAAGCTCGCGCAACTGTACGACCTGTTCGGCTAACAACCCAGTGATAAATTTTCTGCCAGAGCAGTCGCAATAAAACGAAAATTTAAAAAGAATGGTGGAAAACGCGTTCTTTTTATAGGAAAAACTGAAAAAAACGTGTTTTTTTCAAAAACGGTTAGAAACGCAGAAAAAACATTGGTATTTTCTTCGGTTCGCTTTAATATTCGAGAAAAAAAACAGTTTAAACGCTGCGGGAGAAAAACGCGTTGATCTTCGTTTTACTTTTGGTTGTGCTTGGTTTACTACACGCGTTTGTTTAACGCTGTGAATGTGAATAAGGCACAGACTTGTTCACTCGTTTTTTCTCGTATGGTATGTATGTGGTTGAAAACTATACTTATTTCATGAAAAAAAATCATTGAGAAACAGAATGTAACAATGAAAGTGTCTTCTTAAAAGAAACTGAAAATTACAAACGCTTTAATGTCTGCAAAAGAAAACATTGAAATACGCAGAATAAAGAAGACTTCTCAAGCGGTGGAACGCGGAAAAAAATAAAAGCAGTTTTCTTCCATGACTTGTGTGAACTCTAGTTTTCTATAACACATTCCGCTTTTTCGTTTTGCTTTTAAGTTTTTTTCCTCGTTTTTAAAAAAACGCGATTTAATCCGGTTAAGAAAGCTTTTAGAAGCTGAACAAATTTCGAAAACCTTCATAAAATGAGCTAAGTCAACCGGAACAATAGATGCCACTTGACGAAGAAATGAAGAGACACTGAAGAACATTTTATGCTAATATTTGCATTGATAATATACTCATAAATGTCTACCGCTATGTTTTCTCTTGCAAACAGGTAATATATTTTCGCGCTACATATTCAATTGGCTTGGTTGTTCCAATCTACACAAGAGTCATTCCAAATTGGAATGAAAAAGACTACAAATTTTTTATTATTTTTTTATAAAAGGTGAGCAAACCGTCTGTATTGCTTTTCTCGCACTTGTTTTCGCTTTCTCACGTATGCGCTTGCTCTCGTCACTCGGCGTTTCTCCTCTGAATTTCAAGTTTGTCTTAGTCAAAGCATCTAACTAGAAATTGCTGTTAAGCTCTTGTTACTCATTCATCATTTAAAGAAAGAGCATCGCATATATTGTACACTGGTTACAGACGATTGTGTATATCAGTCCATCGTAACTGACCCTTATCGACAAATTAAAACAAATAACCTGAAAGACCATGATGAATGTCAAAGAATTCGTCGGCGAACAGGGAAAGGATGTTGGTCGGTCACTATTATCGATCGCGCTAATGCCTTTGAAATGCCAGAAAGAAAGAAAAGCAAAGTTTCGACTGCACTTTCATTTAAATGAGGGCTGCACACTCCACTTTCTCTCCATAGACCACCGCCTTGGCACTCTATTCAACTAAAATAAATGTAACCGAGATGATATTTTTTGGGACTATCCGTCATTCGAATCACTTGACCGATTTTTGTATCGTCATGTATCGCCAAAATATTTTTACACAGATCCGCTGGAGGAAATGCTCCCCATGCCAAGCTCTACAACGCTAGATCTTTTCCAAAAGGAAATTTGTCCGCTTCGCGCATATTCACTTCCAGAAACGCGAGTTTCGATCAGAATTCGAGTTAACCGAGCAGATTTCGAGTTTTAGCAACAGCATCTGTTTTATGGTGTAATATGAAGTCGCGTTTTAGATACATCCAAGTTTTTGCTCGATCCTGTGGAACATTTTACTATCAGAATACTTGGAAAGTTCAGCTATTTCTCGTATATAACATCTCATTGAGCTCCCAATTTCTAGAACTGCGTATGGCATAATCATAGAATATATTCTTCCGTTCTTTTCTGGAAATCTCGCACCGAGGTGTTCGAGAGTTTCTTGAAAAACTTTTCCACTTTATATTGTACACTTTTGACTTAAATCCGCTATCATAGTATTAGAGCAGATGAATGTACACGAAATGTACAACTCAAAAAATTCTCCATAATCCCGATGAATGAGGGAAAGCCCGATATCAGAATAAACCAGGAAAAGTCCAAAAATCAGGGAATTTGGTCACACTGCATGTAACGTTATCTACTAGCTATTGAACTTGATGATAAATCTTTTTCTTTCTTTTATCAGTCAAAGGCTGAGCCATCAACAAACGTTTTATATGTTTTTCTTTTAGTGTTCACATATACTGCGTATGCGATTGATGCCATTCTACTTGGTATAATTGCAAATACAATCTACGATTGGAAGACTGGCAAAATCACCGGTGCCAACGCTGCTGCAACCAGTAGCATTTGTACCGGGTGTCCGGAAATTCATCTACCAAAAAGAAAATTTAATATCTCGGTCATTTTTCAACTAAATCGAACAATTCTTTTTTTAAATGAAAGAGAAATGTTCAAAGTTTTATTTGGTACCAAAAGTTTCTACAGATATTGCTCGAAAGTGTCACCGTTTACATCGATCTGAGTCTTTTCACAACACCATCAAAAACATTTTCCAATGTTTCTTTTTTTATACCTTTTATTTCTTGTTCAATCCTTTCCTTCAGTTCGGCAATATCGTTGACCTTCGTTTTGTATACTTTTGGTTTGATGTATCCCCATAGAAAAAAATCAAGTGGCGTCAAGTCTGGAGAACGTGGTGCCCAAGATATTGGATCATCTCTGCCAATCCACCTTCCATTGAATTTGTCATTTAACCATGCACGAACTTCTTTGGAAAAATGCGGCGGCGCGCCATCTTGCTGAAAAATCATCTTATTATGAAGTCTTTTTCTTTGCATAATTGGAAAAAAATAATTTTTTAACATCTGAAGATAGTTTTGTCGATTGGCTGTTTCATCTTCAAAAAAGTATGGGCCAATGATTTGCTTGTTAGACATCGCACACCAAACGTTCACTTTGGGAGACTTCATCGCAGATTCGATGGTGATGAAGGGATTAGTTGGTGTCCAAATTCGACAATTATGCTTGTTCACGACCCCGGAAACGTAAAAAGTTGATTCATCAGGAAAAAAAATGTTTCCGTCATTTCTTTGATCTTCAAGAATCAGTATCAGATGTTCCGACATTTCCACACATATATCCATATCGTCATCATATAACTGTTGAACGCTATGCATCATGTATGGTTTATATCCGATAATATCTCGCATTATCTGATGTGTTTGATATTTGGAAATGTTTGCTTCTCGTGCCACAGTTCGAACACTGTTCATAGGTTCATCATCCAAAATTTGTTGAATCTCTTGAGCTTTATCTTCTGTTATTGTTGAGGGTCTTCCTGTATGAGCACGGTCTCCAACCGAGCCAGTTTCGAGGAATTTCTGGTATATTGATGTTACTGTACGCCTTTCTGGAATATTTGTCGTTCCTCGGCGTCGTAGTTCACGAATAACCATAACAGGAGACTCATATTTTGCCATTAGGATGACTACTTGAACTTTAGTTTCTAAAGAATGTGACATGTTATTGATCTGGAACAAAGATAAAACTTTGAACATTTCTCTTTCATTTAAAAAAAGAATTGTTCGATTTAGTTGAAAAATGACCGAGATATTAAATTTTCTTTTTGGTAGATGAATTTCCGGACACCCGGTAGTATAGCAGCGATCGGGTGCTACTTTGGCTCACGGTTGTTTGTTTCGGGGTTAAAAAACAGACAGCGACGTAAGGTCGGTCCGCATCCTCAGTAAATGCAGGAACATTTCCTTTCGTTGTTTGTTGTTATTTCGTCGTCGCCTTTCGGCTTTCTTTCGCCTTTGGGTTTTGTTTTTTTTCGTCGTTGGTTTTTGTCTTTTTTACGTACACAAACTCTTCGTTTTTCGTTTTTTGCTGTTGTGTTCATGTGTTCATGTATCGCTATCTCGTCTTCTTAAAATAAAATTTGTATTAGAAAATATCATTAGTAAACGTTTATCATTAAAAACATTGATTAGTTCTCAAAATGAAAAAAATGAAATAATAAAAGAAAATGTTCTGGAACTGAGAAATAAACTTGAATCATTGCAAACATTCTATTATAAATTGAATGATGATCAAGAGATTTTAAGTCAAACTATGTATAAATATATCAAAGATTATGAACATAATTTAGATTTACAGCAACAAAAAAATGTGAGTGACGAAGAACAAGTATCACTAACATTCACTGAATACGATAATCAAGATAATTCATCATTAGTGACGGAGATGGATAAATCTCACTATGAAAAGGAACAAAATCAACAAGCAGGCGATGCAAGTAGAGATATTATTTTACAAAAGTTGATTATACCAATGAACAAATCGTCCATAGTATCCATAAACAATATTTCAAATGATTTAATAGAAACAGTGAGAAGAAAACAACGATATATATTAGGAAAAATGTTCAAAAAAAGACAAAATATATCAGAACAATTTAAGATCAATCGGTAATAACTCATATTTTTCTGTTCTTTCTTTTCAATCCGATCAAGTCTGATGGAAAAAGTTGTTCACACTATTGAGATTTAGAGGGATTGATCAAATGATCTCGATATAATAATAATACATAGATTAAATTTTCAGATATACTATTATTACTATTGAAAATCAAAATTTAATGTTGTTTTATAGTTTAATATCATTAAAATGAAAATTATCATTTATAGTAACATTTGAGCAGTAAATGATATATCTAACGTTTCTAATTACCAATTTGAGGATAAGTAAATTGGCAATTATATGACAAACAAAAAAAAAAAAGAGGAAAAAATCTTTACACTAAGCTAAATATATATATATTGTTCCATCTATTTGAATTGTTGATCTTTTAAAACAGAAATAACTTTCTTCATGTTGATTAAAAGTGAAAATCATTCACTAATTAGTTGTATTCAATTCGTGATCTCACATAATCATCTGTCACATATAGGTAGTGTGTATCAAGTAAGTTTCATTATTGTCTAAATATTTTATGTTTATTTTGTCTACACGAATTGATATACTCTTGTCTAGTTGATTTTAAATGATGTTCTTGAGTTTTTTGATATTGTAGTCTGACAGCAACATTATTTTTTAATATCTTTTCCAGTAGACGTTGATTTTCAATTTAAACAAACATCATATATATACACACACATATACACACACATTTAGTAAATCCAACAAACACAACAGGATAAGTATACATAATTGAGACATTTTAGAAAAAGGCAATATAAATAAGCCTTGAAACAATGTATCATGAATAGACTTTTTTCTCTTTTATATGTGATAAAACATTCTAATGTGAATTGAATTGAACACATACAAATATTTTGAAGGCGTTCACGTTTAATTGTTCGATCGTCATCATTTGTAACAGAATCATAATTTTTCGAAAAGCATAAAAGATGACGTATATCTAACTCATTCATTGTACGATGGCAAATGTAAAATGTGTGTAGGTATACGTAGATATATGAAGTAACAAAAGATACCTATAGTACATAGTAGCCATGATATGTCAAACAAGCTTCACAGATTTCATTTGAAGAAGATACATACTATACACGAGTAAGGGTTTAAGTTCAATGTTAGACAAAAAAGTTATTTCCGTTCTTAAAGTTTTTTATATTTTTTATTTTAAGCGCAATTTTCATTCCTATGAAGAAAGATGAAATAATGTGTATATCTATGACTAAATAGATCAAGAAGATGGAATAAAAGAAGATGCGATATACGCTAGATGTCTACTAGGATATATCTCATCAAGCAAGCATCCGAGAGATTTATAGCTGGAACAAAAAATTTTCAAATTAGATTCTGCATCGAATAGAATCCATAGAGCTCTGCAAAAACTCATAGTTAGCGAGGAAAAGTAATTACTGTTTTTCTCAGCAGTGAGACATCGTGGACTTTCGAGCACACAACAAAAAAATGCACAGAATCAAATTTTAAACAAAGTAGAACACCACCGATTCTCCTATAGTTTTCTGGGAAAGGCGTTAATTAGCGAAAAAAACGCTAATTTTGATAATTAGCACTTTTTACCCAGAAGGAAACATTTGGCAAATTTGGTGCTGCAACCAAAAATGTCAGAAATTAAATTTCGCACATTTTATCTGCTGGTACCAACTTCGTACGATATTTTCGCTACAAGAAATAACTTTCTTGCAACAGCATAGTTTTCTTGCCCCAAGAAATCCCAAGAATTATTTCTTGGCCAAGAAAAACTTTTCTTGCCCCAAGAAATGCACAAGAAAGCCCAAGAATTATTTCTTGGCCAAGAAATGTCCCAAGATCTTGCTTTCTTGGCTTCAAGAACTTCCACTAGGGTGGCGCCTTAATAACGGCGCTAAAAAATAGACATAAAATAATTTTTTTTTCTGAATTTCCCTTTTCCAAATTTTATGTTAAGTTAATATAAAATTAATTCTAAGATTTTATATATATGAGTCTGTATCTCTGAGCCTGACAAAAGTTCGTACTTTTCATATGTGAGTGCATTTTGTGCTAAAGCAATATATTCTGAATTATTAATACTATGCATATGCAGTTTTAACATAACATACATTTCTCTACCATGTAAACTGAATAACTGTTGCCTTTAACTGCTTAAAATCGTCAACTATGTCATGCAATGTAAATGTCCTATAATTTTTTGCCTTCAGCGTCAGCGGTCGAGAGGTTCTAATTCTCGCTTTGATTTTTCTGTGAATTGAAATTTGCAGTTTATATATAGAGACGTTGCCATAGCTACCCCACTGAACATATTTCGTCAGTTTATACTCTTCATGTTTTTACTCGTTCTTATATCATTCTTTAACACGATAGATATCGGACGTATTTTCTTGTTCTTCCGTCTCTATACGTATTCATACATTTCGTATATGTACACGTGTTTCTTTATGACCTTTTTGTACTTAAATACATATATATAACGTCTTAATTTACTTAATTTGATGAAATAATTATGACTTACGCACAACAAACTGAATATGAGAGGTACAATAATATGAATACAAGAGAACGAGACGAATTAACTACGGGTTGTTTAGGAGAAATGTCAAGTTCTCGTACTCAACCGCAGTTTGGGACACCGAAACGACCACGACAGCAAGATAATGAGGATTTCGAAAACGACCCGGATGTTCAACAGGTCACTGGGAAAAAAGCGAGGCGTCTTCGACGAAATGGAGTAAATCAAACTTATCCAAGTAGAACTTGGAATAATTCGAATAATAACTTCAACTTGAATCAAAATTTTAATAATAATGGTCGAGAATATAACTGTAATCAGAGATATTCTCCTCAATTTCAAGAGCTGAATGAAAATGAGCAATCACAACAACCTAGTCAAATTCTTGTGTCTCCACAAGTGTTAAGGTTTGCAGTGGCGGATCGTTTTCCCCCAATAAAGATCGAGTGTGTTCCCAAGCTGGTGAATCAACAACAAGGTGCTAATTTGGTGAGAAGCCTATTCAAAAAAATTGAAAACGATTTTAGAAAGTTAAATACTCGGTTTCAATATCCAATAGGATTTGAACATTT